TAAAAAACACAATTTTGAAATGACAGCAAATCAATAATCATGACTAGAATTTGTTAGTCCAATTTTGGTAATCAGCAATTTATTTTACCATGTTAAAATACTTATTCATCAATTAATTGGCTAAAACAGTAATATAAAAAGCTTATAAACTATTTCAGACCAAATGAAGTAAAACATTTCATACTGTCTTTTCAAACGTAGTTTCTCAGGCAATAGTTGCTAAATTTACCCATTATGTAATTTGCAGTCCAAGGGCATGACAACTTACACAGTTCTTGGTATTTCACCATTTTGTATTTAAAATTGTTCACATGGTAAAGTGTAGTGAATTAGAGTGGGTATTTAATAAAGTGTACTGACTTTAAGCAAATGATAAGGACAGGCAACCCACATTACAAAACCTCCACTTTGCTGTTAATTACATCATACTGCCCACTAGAATGATCAACACTGTTTCCTCAACTCGATTTTTTACCATTTAATTTTTCATTAGATTTCATTGTATATTTTGGTTTTTACATTTTCTCTCTTTCGCCATTCTTCTTCTATGTAGAAAAAAGTGCTTTCTTTTGTGAATGGACACAAACACTACACTAGATTGCCATGTATCTGTGTATCCAAAAACACAGCAGAATGAAAGACTCTATAGATGAAATATCACTCTGGTTACAGTATCATTTAATTAAATGATCGAGCCAATTCCCTCTTTGGGGAATAAACTCCTTTTAGGCTTTGCATCTGTTTCCAGTAACAGCATAGGACTCTGACAACTGAAAACACTGTGCCAAGTGGGTAAAATTGCCAGTGCTTTGGCTAGTTTGAAAACTAATAACAGGCTTCAGAAGAATAGAGAGAATTTAATCTATATTCTGTACTACCTTTATTTATTTGCAGAATTCTTCTCTTCTCTTAATTCCATGTTTTAGGCCCTGTCACCGTGGTTGTAGAGGAGGTTCAATTCAATAATGAACCACAGGCTCCTGGAAACATTCATCTGAACAAGCTCATTTCTTCCTTTATCAAAGAATTGGGCTTTAATAGCACAAAGGGGAAATAATCTGTCTCTTGAACACTGGCTCACTGGCTTCTCTGATACAGAGGTCAATAGAACAGAACCTCTTTTCTTTCAGCATATTTGGCTGGACATGAGGCTCCTGTGCTCATTGTTCTGCTTGGCTAGATTGAAGAAATACAAAGCGCTTGGGCTGCTTTCACAATGTCGTCTAGATCTGGTCAGATTTAAGAAGAATTCAAGCACCTCACATTACTGCTAGTGAGTGACTTTATCATTTTCCAGAGTCCTTTGCATTTTGACCTTTTCTGTGGCATCAGTGTTGTCCTCAAACATAATCTGATTTTAGACTTTTATAACATATACTGACAGCTGCCTACACAGTAAACAAATAACACAGAACATTTACCCTTTTGCAAAACAGCTGTGACATAATAAAAATCAACAGCAACAGCAACACCCGGTGTGCCTCTGTGGGGCACATCAATCATGATTTTGTCTACAAGCATTTGCTGAGAAAAATAGATAAATAAATAAAGTCAATAAAAGTGAAATAATATTCACTTCAGAGAAGGATTTGGTAGGTGTCTTGAAACACTTAAAATTCCTTTGGAAATTGCAGTAAAATATTTTAGGAGTTGCAACAGCATAGACAATTTTAGGAAGGTTTTTTTTTTAAATTTATTTATTTTATTGGCCATAGTAAGTAATTGTTACAGTTTAAACTGCAAAGCGGAAGACAGTTCTAGTTCTTACTTAAGGATGTCCAATTGCTAAACATTAATCACAGAAATGTGCAAGGCAAGGCCACTTGAGGAAACGCTGAAGTGGTATTTATATAGTGCTCCAGTTTATGTGACTAAAACAGACAGCTATGTAATTGTGGATCATTATTAACTTGTCAAAACAGATGATATTAAACAGGGCATCAGCGCTTCACTTAACTCCTTGCAACAATACACTGCTTCTTGCTTACAAAGAAGTAGACTTGCGATGGGAAAAAGACAACAGGACACAAGATAGAGGTAGATTTGACTCCTGATGTTTCTGTTTCAGCTTCTTTAAGTTGATTAAATATTCTTTCATAAGGGAGAGATAGTGACAGATTTACAGCTTACCTATGACTGAGTGAGAGAGAGAATGAGTGAGAAAGAGGGATGGAAGCAAGAGCTCTGGGTGTCTACAAGGGATGATACAGAACATTAAGCGGCTTACAGTAGGGATAACTGATAATGATCAATATGCTCCTGACAGAGACCGAGATTGTAACTGACATTCTTCATGGATAAATCTGGTGTAAAATCATTTACTCTTATTTTTATGAATCAAGAAAGCAAGCATGAGAGGAGATTAAAATTATGAGAAGATGTAGTTTTACAAATCCCTGATGGGAAACTAGGTCAGTGCAGTGGCAAGGCTTTAGCACACGCATTTTTTTTTTTTAATTCAAAGTGACAGGACCACCCTCATTCCACCCCCACCAAATCTCGACATTAAACCTCTATCCCCCATGTCAGAGAGATTTACCACTTCACTGCTAAGGGTTAGTAGGTAATGGGCATTGCAGGTTTTGGTTGCATAGGGAACAATCTAATGTATTTACCAACTTGTCAGATGTCAATTATTGGTATCCTCCACTCCCAGAAGGAATCACATCAAATGATCTTTTCAAAATTAAGATACTTTTAAGTCAGGATCTGCCCACTTTGTGTCACAAATGTTTACTGTCTTTACTACTATGCCCCTTAAACACAACATGAAAGCCATGGGAATCAGGACTGTTGGGCCAGCTGACAATAAGCTACAATGGTATACATTGGAGCCAGCTGAGGTGGTTCGGGCATCTGACAAGGATGCCTCCTGGGCGCCTCCTGGGTGAGGTGTTCCAGGCATGTCCCACCGGGAGGAGGCCCCGGGGGAGACCCAGGACATGCTGGAGAGATTATATCTCTCGGCTGGCCTGGGAACGCCGTGGTGTTCTCCCGGATAAGCTGGAGGAGGTGGCTGGGGAGAGGGAGGTCTGGGCCTCTCTGCTTAGGCTGCTGTCCCCGCGACCCGGCCTCGGATAAAGCGGATGAAGATGGATGGATGGATGGTATACATATACCTTAAGTCAATCTTCAGACTATTCAGCCCTTTGTGCAAAAAATAAATTCTTATTTATTTATTTTATCACAGATAGCATGATGATGATGGCAGCGTAAAGTGCGCTCCTTCCCAAGTGGTGGACTCTAATGCAAGTGCACATTTCTAGTAGATTATATTCTGGATTGTGGAAATTCAGAAATGCTACAAGTTCCAAGTCTTTAGCCATGATTGACACTTCACTTGACCTTTCTTTCATCTGACCCTGGTCAGAGTAAAGCCTGGATCAAGCATCTTTGCTTTGGTCCCATCAGCTTCACATCAGCCCCTAAGATTTACAAAGTCTAAGCCCAGGTCAATCACGCTCATGTTCAACCCTCAAGGTATGTCTGGGACTATGAAGTCTGACTGGCAATGTAGAATGTCTCCTCTCTGGTGGGGAAGACGCAGCAGACAGGATAGCAAGTGAAAAGATACCAATGATCATATTCCTTCTACTGGTGCAGAGGTGTTTAGTTGGACTTTTATCTGAGAGAACAAAAAGGGTAAACCCTATGCAGCTGCACTTCTCAAAAAGGGTCATTATTTTTTTATGCCTATGAAGCAAAAACCAGTTCAAAGAATTTCATCTTATTGGAGTCTCTGAGTGGGACATCAAGGATTCCTGGCTCAGGACTTGTATCCGATACTGTTTGATCATAAGGTAGTTCATACAACAACACCTTAGGACAAAGATCAGTGGATTGACTTTGATATTATTTCAGAGAATGTGCATTTTAATGTGCCACTTTCTGTATCCTGGATTGTCTTTTTCTGTTTCTTTTTTCTAAAGAAAGTTACTTTGACTTAGTCAAGAATTTTTGAACACTAGGTCCAGAAAGTAGGGACAGTTGTAATTTTGTATTTGTTTGTGTCAGCACATAAACAAATCAACAATCTCCTCACATGAATAAAAGATAAATACAATGACAATTCCTCTCTGTCAAAGACAATGGATTTGAATATTTCATCATTTATAGATATCTGGAAAGCTTGAATACAAAAAGACTAAGCTTTCTACTTTTGTCATGTAAATAGTATAGATCATTTATCTGTAAAGAAGCATTACTTTTTTATATTATAGGTAGTAATCTAAAAGATAAACTGCTGACACACACTATAACTGTGTTTGACAAGAATGATATGTCAGTCCAGACCGTGTCATTGCATTTCTCCACTGACTATTGAAACCAGACTTCATATTCTCAGTTTCAGTTTTCAGTTTTCAGTTTTATTTGTCATATGCAAGTTAGCACGGGGTCAACATTGCAATGAAATGTGTTTGACGAGCAGCAGTCACTCAGCAGCATGGTACAGTAGGAGAACATATAATAAAATAAAATAAAATATAAAAATAGTAAGGAGCTAAATATTAGAGAGACATGGTAAAAGAGAGAGTTTTCTGTACTGCTATATGAGAAACATATTTAAAGTTACAGTGCAGTAATGACCAATTTAATTTAAGTAATACTTTATTTCCATTTATGATTTATCCATTTTATTTTTCACTTGTAATACTGGGATATTACACTTTTGGAATTATTTATTGCTATAAAGTAAAGTTTTTGAAGAATCCCATTAAGAAAAACTCAATAAAAAGTCAATTGGGATTTAAGACGTATTGTAGTTTCCATGTGATCTTTTATTAATATGTGATCTAATTAAATGCAGTTAAAGTTATACATCAAGGAGCCTGGGTCTGTGTGTGCTGTACATTATTCAAGTCATTGTCTTTCATATTAAACATTTATATTGGGGTTTTGAGAGAGGTTTTAGTAAATGAAAAATGAAATGTTTTTATCTCAATTTTTAATGCTTTAATTTGTCCATGTGAGGTAGATGTATTCCGGATACCATTACAATGCTAAATGCTAAGATCATTTATTTTAGGCAATGGATGAGAGCTACTCTGAAATATTCTCACAGTCTCTGTCTTCCACCCTTTAAGTGAAATAAAGGATTAGATATAAATTATGGATGTAGCATTATAAATCTGCATCCATTAAAGCTTTGTCCTGTTACACGTCTTCTGGATTCAGTCCCAAAAACTTTACTAAAATCTATGCTCCACCTACAAAGCAAAAAGCTTGTAAGAAGAATTTAAATGTTGATTAAATGTTCCTCACTCTCCAGTTGCATGTAGTCTCATGCTACAAGCAGTAAATATTTACTAATGGAAAATAACAGTACGGTTTGAACTGTTGTCTGAGTTGCATTAACATTCATTCATCCTTTAAAATGAGATATATTGAGTTGCCAGTGTACCTCATTCAGTTTTCCTTTTTAAGAGGTCACAGCATACTGAAAATGTGAATTAAATATTATACTTGTTATGAATACATGGATAAATAGGTATAATTGTATGCCATTTACCGGTTCATTACTTTTTCAAGGAGGCTGTTTTCAGTCCATATGCTTTGGTAGTTTTTTCCCCTTCTTTTCCATCTCATTATCCAGCATAAACAAAACTCAAAAGTGTTTACAACCGTGATAGGGTATACTTATGCACAGGAGGCTTTGAGCTAAATGATAAAATTATATGCTAATTACTCATGATGACCGTGCTAACATACTCAGATGCTTGGCAATTTAGTTTAGTTCTTTCCATTTGATGACCTCATTGACAAGTTTTGACATCTGACAAGTATATTTCAATCAAGATGTGTTTTAATGAGTCCGCAGATTTTTTCAAGCTAATCCCTACTTCATCCATCCATCCATTCGCTTCCGCTTATCCTTTCCAGGGTCGCTGGAGCCTATCCCAGCTGTCATAGGGCGAGAGGCGGGTTATACCCTGGACTGGTCGCCAGTCTAACACATAGAGACACAGACAACCATTCGCACTCACATTCACTCACAGATTCACACCTATGGGTAATTTAGATTGACCAATTAACCTATCCCCACTAACTGCATGTTTTTGGACTGTGGGAGGAACCGGCCTGATGGTGGAATTGAACTCAGGACCTTCTTGCTGTGCGGCAACAGTGCCAACCACCGTGCCACTGTGCCTACTTCAGTAGGCCTGAATTATAACAGAACCAGAAATTACTTGGTCCTAAACCAAAGTACACAATTTCAGACTAGAAGTCTAGAATTTATTAAAAGCTACACTTATTTATATTTTTCACATGCTTACTTTTACAACAATGAATAGAGGTCACTGTGAAATTGGCTTCAAAGAACATGCTTCACCAAAAAGTCATAGTGATTGCTTTGATTACTGACAGTTGCCTGTGATTTTGCATGTTTGACCTCAAATACTTGGTAACTACTAGCTGAGGGACAGTAAAACTTGAGTTTTACTACAACTGAGAGATTAGCTGCACAGGTCTGTCACTTCCATGGTTATTCCACTGGTCATTGACCAGTCTCTGCACCTGCAGCTGTTTTCCTAGTGACACCCTCCATCAACCTCCATCATCCACTTGCAACCTGCCAGTTCCCAGATGGGTCCTGACCAGTCTGTAGAGCTGTATGATTGGGGCATTATTAATTTTATCCCACATTGCAACCATAATTGTTAGACACCTAGAATGAATGAAGTTAATGTCAGACACTAATCTCAACATAATATGAGTCAGTGGTAGCTCACTATCTAACAGTGGCATGGTTTAATTTGACTGTTAGATGTTAATTAGTTGTTGGTATATTAAACTGTCAGTGTAGAAGACTTTATTATTAGCATGTGTGTTGTCAGAAGCTCAATAGATACATTTTCAGCATGACACAATCAAATCAGCCTAACAAAGCAAAAGTATTCTTCAACTGACTTCTCAGATACTCTTCTGGTTATTTTTACTCTCTGAAAGAAACATTAATCAGTTTTTGTGTTCCAGAGATTTTGAGCATGCAAAATAGATAATCTCTGGTCTGCTTGAAGGACGTCTTGGTAACAGACGACCGTGTTTATTTAACATGATGAGCAAAATTAAACACTCTCTGTCTGGATCTTCACTAATCCCCCTTGTCTCTGCCTTCTGTCACCTTCATTTACCACTTGATGTTTTTTTTGTCTATCTTTACTTTTGTAGTTGACTCTGACTCAGCTTAATAACTTCTATTCTCTTCTTTCTGTGTGTTTTTCTCTTCCATTTAATTGTTATGATAAAATGCCCCATTTAACTCTTTAACATTTAACTTGTCTCCATATAGTGCTGATGAGAGGTTTGATGCCACGTTCCATACAAATGTGCTGGTCAATGCTTCAGGAGCCTGTCAGTACATTCCACCAGGTGAGACATCCCAGATATTTCTATATTCTTACACAACCGTTCCACACTACTCCCAACACGCTAAATCCAGATTGTCATCATTTTAGGGACATCATTATCTCAACATCATCATTACTGTTATCACTGCCATCAACACCCTTCTCATTCTCACCTCACTGTTCTGGTGAACAATCTCTTTTCAGATTCCCAAGACAATGTCATTTTACAATCGCTGAACATTAGAGACTGTTTCCACTTCCTCCACATACCAAAGTTGTTCCACTTGATATAGATCTAGTGACTCGGGGGGCCAGTGAAGATCACTGAACTCACTTTCTTGTTCACAAAGACAGAATCAGATTGCTGTCTTGCATTGTTTTACTGCAACAGCTATTGGAAGATGGTAAATTATGGGTATAAGAAATATATGGTCAGCAAAAATATGCAGACTATAGCATGCAGACATACAAGTTTAAGTTTGCAGAGAAAACTGTTATACCACTACAACCAACTTGGATTATTAACACAACTAGCTCTAGCCTCAGCATTGTCTTCTTGGCTGACAGGAGAAGAGCGCGTCATGGTCTTCCACTTATTATGCTTTCTAAAGGGCTTACCATCATCTTTCTGTCAGCTTTAACTAGTGTCACCATTCTCTTTTAGTCTTTTACATGCACTTTTCTGTTTGCAGAACTGCTGCTCACTGAGCAATTTTTGTAAACTCCGGAGATTGTTCTGGTGAAAATCTCAGGAGATCAGCAATTTCAGACTCACTCAAACTAGCCTGCCTGGCATCAGCAAAGATGCCATGGCCACTGAACTCAAATACTCCACCCCCCGACCCCCACCTAATGTTTGATATAACACTAACTAAAGCTCTTGATCTGTTTCTAGATCAGTATTTTTTGAATCGCAAAGCTGATGTTTATTTGTATTCTAAAAGGATATCAGTGCCTATAATAAATGGCTTGGAATATACTAGATTTTAGTATCAGAGAAGGATTTATTTAAAGTATGTTTAAGCAAAAATTGTCATGTAGAAGTAACTTTTTATTATTTTAAAAATAAATATTTACATTAAAAAAAACGGATTGGTTTCTAAAAGTAATTTATCTGCAGGTATCTTGAAGAGTACCTGCTACATCGACGTTCGGTGGTTCCCGTTTGATATTCAGAAGTGTGACCTGAAATTTGGTTCCTGGACCCACAATGGTTGGTTGCTGGATCTCCAGATGATGGAAGTCGATGTCTCTACATATATACCCAATGGGGAGTGGGACCTTGTTGGTAAGAATGAAAACAAAATGTCATGCATAGATGTTGAATAAGAAAGACCCTGATAAGACTCTCACGGAGATTCAGCATTAACTATGTGAAACATCCAATCAGTGTCACACATTTTGACAGCAGGTGTTTCATCTGTGTTTCTTTCTTTGTAAGATGCCACTCTCTTAGTCAATCAGTCCACAACGAAGGGGTCTTTAGATGGGGTGAATAATGCAGCTTCTATTTACTATAGTACTAAATCTTCAACAAATTCTCTTTCTGACAGCATTTCTGTACAATACAGGTGATGCTAATTTCAAATACTGATCACAACAGGTAGGCTAGCAAAGCTAAAAATAAAATCCACCAGAAGTAGTTAAGAACTCTCTCAGTTCATAACTTCAAGCCTTTCAGAAGCATCTAGGGAATGACTCCAGCATTTTGCCTACAGTTAGGGTTAGGGTTGATGACTCAGAAGGATAAAGCATATCAAAAAACATGGAAAGTTGCCCATCAAAGTGCCGTTTAAAATTATCCTCCTAACTTTATCCCTCATCCTACCAATATTTTTACCGTATATATATATTCCACTGCTTGTGTCTCCATATGGAAATAAAGAACTCACATCATCTCTAATCCAAGTTTGGGTGTTAATCGGAGGCCAATGGAATCATTTCCAGACACAAACTGACTAACACACAGAGTTGGTGCACCCAGCTGGCTGGGGGAATAGATGGGGGTTGTGAGTGTGTGTGGTAACAGCTGGCCCGGGGATGGTTCACTTAATTCAGGCACAGCCAGGCAGCTAGCTGGCCAAGAACACACACTGTCCTGGTGCCTTAGAACATGCCCATGTTCATGCAAGAGTGCAAACGCACACTCAAAAGCAAGCAGGCACGCATTGTTTCACTGTCTCAGGGGGTAACTCATTAAACTAAACAATTCCTGAGCACATTAACCTAATCTGAACTATCACAACTGAATGCCTCACCCCCACCCTTCACCTATTTATAACCTTTACCCTAAAACCAACTCTTATCCCCAAAGCAGTCCGGACCCTTCGGGACTGCACTTTAAGTCTCTAGGGTGACACATGTACCCATGGGTTAGTGTTCTGTCAGGTTACAGTCCCTAAAGGGAATGGAGGACATGACCCCATACAAGTGAGCGCGCGCGCACACACACACACACACACACACGCACACACACACACACACACACACAAGATGTGGTAAATGCATCTGCAGGTCTACAATCCATCAAATTAATAGAAACTAACAAAGGCTATTTCTCTTCGGCAAGCGGGTGACAAGAGTTTTAAATGAAATGAAATTGAATCCGAGCAATCAATTTAAACTGAATTCCTACAGGAAGTAACGCTCACACACGCAGTGGTAATATCAAGTGTTTTCTGTTACTCACTTGAAAAAAGTTGTGCATTTTGACTGTATTGTTGATTGTGTCATTTTCACAATCAATTAATTGCTATTAGAGGTGTATAATGCTGGGTAAACCACACACAGGCAGCGCTCTAGTGGGTTGACTTTTATTCATCACTGATTGTTGATTGTAAGCTACAAGTGACTGCCTGGCAGTCACACATACTCACACAGAGGTCCTTGATTGATGATATTAATCCAGAGGACAAGCTAACATTGTCTGCCTTCCACCTTAAAATGATTATACATATGAAATGGATCTGCTATTGTTACTGATCATTTAGCTATACAATTGTTCTTGTACTTGTAGTTTTTCTGACTATGGCCAGGCCAATGTGATGTTGATTTCTGTTACTGACCTTATAAAAATCAAAATACACCTATGCCAACAACAAAGATAAAACTATAGTGTTGAACATGCCAGATATATATGACTGCTTTTTGGAGATGTAGCTGGGTAATCTGAAGCATTTACTAACATTTGCAGGTTTTAACATTTTGTGGCAGTCCTTTACTCTTGCTCGGCATATAATACAAACAATGATCATGGCACAATGCATTGCAGCTACAGCTAACTTTCCACAATCTCCAAAGAGCATTTTATTTGAAACTATTTAAATTACAGATAAAGATAAATACACGCTCCTTTTAGTTTTTGTTTATTTGTTTTTTACAAAAAAAGAGTTACTGTTCAGATCTGGCCATCTGGACATGAAAGCTATATTTTCACTTTTTAGTCACCATGAAATGAACTTGAATAAAAAATAAACTTTAGTCACTGCTTTTTAATGTCATTTTACTCTTTTAATTCAATTTTTTGCCTACCCTTACTTGTTTTGATACGTTGAACTAGTACTGTGTACAAAAGGTTCCTTTCAAATATGCTGTAAGGTTCAGCAACAGGAACTGTTGTTTGTCTGTAAAATAGATATGGAAGTATTCATAAATTTTAAAAGTTTATATTTGAAAGTTATCAAGCTAGTTTTGATCAAACAAATTCCAATAACAGGATGAAAAGATGCCCAGCTGGTCAGCAAACAGATTCAAAAGCCAATTACGGCTCTCAACAAATGGCTGTCATTTTAAAGCCGTGAACTTGCAACTTCTATTTCAGTCTCTACTGTATGAGCAATTCTTTATACTGATTATAACTTCCTGCTAAACAAACAGGTGGAACGGATTTGAGATTATTGTGTTATATAAATGATAACGTCATACAATTCTAATTTAGGCACAAGTGGATTTTCTTTTGTTTTTGGTTTTTTCAAAGCAAGCTGCTTCCCAACATGATTAACTAAATCCCAGTCCAGACAAAATAATATTAATCTGATTGGTTAAAGTCTACAAATTTATGAAATACAGAAATTGAAAGAAGAAAAAAAAGTACTATTATCATATTCATAAGTTTCCAACATCTTCTATAAAAAGTACAAGTTGGCTTTCCATAAAATTTAAAACATTATACTTCTACAAGTATTTTGCCTGTATTTATTTACATTTTATTCATTTTAACTAATGCCTTTTTGTTAACAAGGCCATACGTGAAGTTAAAAATGTGCATTATTGGCTTATTTTAGTGTTTATAAAAAAATACTCAGTCAAGCAGAAGAAAGAACTGGACCATCATTTCATAATTCTGTGTTTTTGACCTCTAAACTGACACCTTTTTACCCCTTAATATGTCTCCCAGGTGTACCAGCAAAGCGTAATGAGCTGTATTATGACTGCTGCAAGGAGCCCTACCCCGATGTGACGTTCACAGTCACTATGCGCCGCAGGACTCTTTATTATGGCTTAAACCTGCTCATCCCCTGTGTGCTCATCTCTGGTCTGGCACTGTTGGTCTTTCTGCTCCCTGCTGACTCTGGAGAAAAGATCTCACTGGGTACAGAGGATCACATACACATCAGGCCATCCTTGCACACAAAGACACAGATACACAGTTTCACGCAGAGGGACAATGATTCATGATTACATTCATGCATGTTGACAAAAATGTGCCTTTCTCCCCTACTTTGGTCATCTCTGCCCACCAGACTGCAATTGCTTACCCATTTATTTGTCTTTGCTTTATGCTAATGCTGACATTATTGCTGTGAATAAGCATTTGCGTTGAATTCTGTTCCTTAGCAGATGAACAAAAGCACCACTGTTAACGCAGCAAAGATAATCATGTGGACCTGAAAATGCCAGCTTGTTTCAAAATGCCATTCCGTGAGACAGGGCTGCACTAAATAGAAATGAGACAGTGCCCCTTTGAGGGTGGATAAGATAGTAAATATTCCAAAAATAAATTCATAGCTTTTGTCACCTGTTTTGAAGACAACCAGCTGCATTTATTTTGAGTTCTCTCAAGTTACAATTTAACAGCTATAGAGATGTTTGATGAAATAATGTATCTAACGTGTGTCTGCCCTTTTCAGGCATAACGGTACTGCTGTCTCTGACAGTGTTCATGTTACTGGTAGCAGAGATCATGCCTGCCACTTCAGACTCAGTTCCTCTAATTGGTAAGACAATATTCAGCTCCTTGTAATGCTTTTATTGGTAATTATTTAATTGTTGGTTTAAAAGCAACATTAAAGCAATTGTGAATTGTGAAGGTTTTCACAGGAACCTATGCAGTCTGAGTATGCACATCCCTCGATTTAGTGGCTTGTAGAACAACATTTAGCAGCAATAACTTGAAGCACTGATTGGTTTTCTATATGACTTCACTAGTCTCTAAAATAATTGTGAAGAAATCTTCTTTGCAAGGTTTATGGGGAGTTCTTTTAAGGTCTTATCATACCACTTCATTTGCTGAGTCAACTGCCAAAACTTCTCCTTTAATAGAAGCAATTGCAATTGTTGATAATCAGTTAACCAAGTCCATTTACACAGTAGTGCATAGAGAATGTACTCTGGTGTCCACCTAAAGACATGGATGTTAATTGGGGATTCTAAATTGGTTATGGATGCCAACACTAGAAAATGTTATTTAAATCACAATCTAATATTTCCATTTTCAAACATCCAAGAGCCAAAATGTGTGCTATTTTTAGTTTATTTTCAATTGATGTAATTGTTTTTGCAATAAATAGGTAAGAAAATTATAATATATCATGACTTGCCCAAAAGGTGGAAAAGGTGCCACAGTGGGTCAGTATGGAGATTTTATTTTCTCAATTTACTGACAAGAGAGAAAACCATGGAAAGTTGCTGGATGAAAAGAATAATTTACCCAGGAGACAGTTGGCTACAATAGGTTAGAGTGTCAAAATAGATCTTTATGCCTCATACTCACATCATAGGGCAGTCTGTAGCAGAAAACATTCTTTGCACAGATGGACTGATATGTTGTGGCTGTGGGCGGGTTCTGAAGAGTGTGGGGTGGGTGTTTGCTTGCTGATGCAGTATGTGAAGATTATATTCAGCGTAGGAGATAAACAGTTGTGTTGCATAAGACCATACTGATGCAGACAGGGGAAGACAAGGCAGCAGACTTTAAGAAGGGAGGAGAATCTGCAGATAGGGCTGCTGCCCTGCATCATCTGGCAGCTCAGTGATGTAAAACGAAGCCAAGAGCAAACACGCCTTTTAGAGTAGATGTTTAACACACTACAGATACTGTATATCAGAGATAATAGATAAAAGACAAAAATGTCTTTGACATTTACTATCAGAGGTTGTCATACAATTCCAATTATATTGTGACACGGAAACGTATAATTTCGTTAGCCCGCCTTTCTACTTAATCGCTGACATCACAGCTGCATCAGAATGTGTTTGAAAAACATGCTTTCCTACATGGAAAGGATATGCATTTTTATGTCCCTGTGTGTCTTCCAGTGCCTCCAAGGCTGTGTATGTGTTATGTCTTTTGGCTACATTTTACATTAACAAAAAATATGTTAGTCATCCTCTTATCTGCCCCTGGGGTGTTATGACCTTAGATTTGTTGACAGGGATAATTTCTTCACTGAATAATCAACCAGCTACCTTACTTGGTGACAGTGATGATGCTTTCGAATCTAATAATTTTAAAATGACCATTTCACTTATATATTTAACTAAATAAATCATTCAGTAACAGACTACAATATCTACTAACAAGCCATGTGTCCTTTATTGAAATTGCAATATACTGATTTGTTCGTATTCTTCTTCAGCTCAGTATTTTGCTAGCACCATGATGATTGTGGGATTGTCGGTGGTGGTAACTGTTCTGGTTCTGCAATTCCACCACCATGACCCCCACGGAGGAAAAATGCCTAAATGGGTGAGTTTAATAAGGGGAAAAAAGAGACAATTTAATTACAGTATTATTTCAATAACCATCTTTCTAAAACTGTTTACCAAGCTTTGATGTGCCCCTCTTTAGAAGTTGAAAAAGGTTAGTTCTTGCAACAAAAAAGGTACGCATCATTAGCACAATAACAATAACAGATCCTTCTTTGTTTAGTAAAAAAAAAAAAAAATTGACTCTCCTTAGTTTCACATCATATTTTCACGAGTTTGTTTGTGTTAGGATATGACACCAAGATCTTACACAATGATTAAAGGTACTTTTTAAAACTATACTCGGCAAAACTTTTCTTAAAACCTTTACAACTTGGGGCAACATTTTAAGAGCGGCTGTGAACAGGTGATTTCTGATGTGTCCTGCTATTATCTTTTGATTTTTTCCTTTTAGTCCTGCTCTCATTCTCTTAAGAAGCTTTGCTTTTTTGGTAGGCCACCAAATAAATGTAAGAAATAGAAGTTTTCAGGATGAAATCATACCAACTGTTTTTTCAATTCTGTTGCTAGCTTTAGTCATTTTAGAAGATTTTAGACTTATTTTTTTGGTAAGTGTCAATTAAACTGTCTATGTAGGTTCTCTGTCATCCAGGTCATGGTAGTCTAAGGAACACTTTCCGGTGTAAATTAACATATCAATCCAATCTTTCCACCTTCTTTCCTCCAGCTAAATCTTTATCTTTCTTATTTCCTTCTTTCAGGTCCGAGTCTTTCTTCTCAACTGGTGCGCTTGGTTCCTCCGTATGAAGAAGCCTGGAGAGGAAAGCAAAACTCCAGTGAGCTCAAGCAGTCCTCCAACTTATAAGTACTCCCATTCTCCTGCTCACCACACTAGCACCACCAGCATTCAGATGAGCACCATACCAGGGCAGCAATCCACTCAGGCAACAACAACCAATGGAAACATGAACCTATACTTTAGCTACCACTCAATGGGCACAGACAACCCTGTGTTTCCACCTAGTGTTGATTCAGGTGTGATTGTGTGCGGTGGTGGAAGTGGAGGTGGAGGGAATCATCATAACGGTACCTCCCAGCTTGACATCCACTCAGACCAGACACGGACTTTGCTTTTGGAGCAGATTCCCGAAATTTGCCGGATTTTGGAAGAAGTGCAGTACATTGCGAATCGCTTCAGAGAGCAGGACGAGGGGGAGGCAATCTGCAGCGAGTGGAAATTTGCAGCTGCAGTCGTGGACCGGTTATGCCTGGTGGCCTTCTCGCTGTTCTCCATCATCTGCACCTTCACTATTCTCATGTCAGCTCCCAATTTCATTGAAGCCGTGTCAAAAGACTTTACGTAAGGCTGCTCTCTACCATCACTGACAGATAAAAACTAACAGTAGAAATTCTGACACAATTAGACCTGCACCACACAAGCCTCTCTTGTACTTTTATGTGAAGACACACAAGCTCAAGTTAATTTAGAATTGATATCACCATAGATCAGTACCCAGCCTTTACCCCTTTCATTACACATTTGTAGGTATATAGCTGGGGTAATGTGTTTTTTCCCTGTGAAGGTTGCTCTTTAGCTTACAACATACATACAGGTACATAGGAAGTTGAAGCAACATGTAGTAGTTAATGATGTAGAAAGTCAGACTAATGCACTTTTCTTCTGTATCCCTGCTGCACCACATCATTTACTTGCCACCATTTGAGCGTCACGTCTCATCAGAATTCACTCTTTCCCTTATAGCTTTTCTTTTCTCTTAATTTTAGAATTTACACATCCTGTCTTCACTCAGTTTTCTAGAGATGTCTTACCTAAACAACTTCAGCAGTTAGATATATAGTACAAGGTTTTACAGGTGTATTCTTGTAATGCATTTGTTCTTTGTATTTTATAAATAAATCCACATTTTACAGTGCAATCTGGTTAAGCTGAAATTGATTTTTTAATGAGTTAGCAAATTCACTGAGATCTACTGAAATTATACATTTCACTAATCTGAGGTGTGAAACTACTGAGTATTTTCATTTTAGATAAATATACCATTTTTTCCTCGCTAACTGAAATTTGATTTAAAATTTTAATTCATCTCAATTTTATTTATATAGTGGTTCCCTCAAGGTGAAAATGCCCATTATAATTTCCCACAGCCTGACTTACAACTGTATCTGATTCATTACAACAAAGAAAGCCAAATAATGTCTTTATACCTTCATTATTACTCTGCTTTTTCCAAATGGAGCTATTAGTCTAATATATATTACAGTTTTTCTCGATTGCTTAAACACTTTTCTTGAAACTATGACTCGTATTCTCAAAACAGTAAACACAAATCCATAACGTCTCACCCAATTTCCCAAACATTGTATTTTCAGGTCAAAATTAAGCTCTACACTCAAAACTATTCACTCTTGCTGAAAAAACAAACTTTGTCCACAGACATCACACATAAGGCCTCAAAAACACACACACTGCAACATAGTCTTACACATTGGTGCAATAAATTGAAAACAATATTTCAAAAACTGTCAAGTTATGTTGCTTGTGGTTCTTCCCCTCAAAAACATTTTCATATCATGAAAACAAAAGATCCAATGTACATACAGTGGCACATTTTTATTCATGTACCATACAGTACAACACACATCAAAAATATTATTCCACCTCAGCATCCTGTCTGTGGTCTGGGTCAGGCCCGGGAATCTCATCCACATCACAGGCTATATTGGCCCTGCCCAGGTAGCAGGGGTAAAATCCTCTTGCATGCCTGATCCACCACTGACATGCATCTACTGATATGTATAGGCAGGCTTCTTCCATGACCCGGAGGAGGTGAACACGGACATAAGGTTCTCTGTCATACACTTTCTACTGCCACGCCGAAAATAACTCCTCCCTCGGGTTTAGAAAGGGAGAGTATGCAGGCAAAAAGATGTCAGAAAACCTTGGGTTATTGGTAAACCAGTCATGAACCAGAGCAGTGTGATGGAAGCTGACATTACACCAAACAACAGCATAGTGAGGCTGCTCTGGCTGTGCTGGTTCACTGTAGTCCCGCTGGAACATATGTTGTCTTAGACCATCAAGAAAAGCAAGGAGAAGCATAGTGTTATAGGGTCCTAGAATGACATGGCGGTGGAGTACCCCTCGTTGGCTGATGGCTGCGCACAAAGTGGCATTCCCTCCACGCTGACCAGGGACATTTACAATAGCCCAATGGCCAATTATGTTCCTCCACCTCCTCCTTGGTGTCCTAGACCTCCTTTTCCTCCTCAACCTCTTCCTTTGCATCTCTTTGAATCCATTGTTTCAAACCTGAATGAGTTTCCGATTGGTGTGTGATAAATTTTGACTCGTAGTGTTTCCACTTGGTTAATTGTGTGCTAATTAAGCTCAAGCTGTGCTGACTTAAGTTAACATTATTGAATGCAAGTGCTTTCTAAATGGCCACATGGTATAAGCACTAAAAAAATGTAGGGATTTGTGTGTAGAGTTTTGCAGTAACAGTTCCCCACATCTGACATCTGTGTTAAAGCAGGGGAATAGTGTTTCAGGGAAATGGGTGTGCTTTTTGAAAAATAGCATTATGGTTTTGAAATTTTAGTTCAAAAGTTTGGTTATAGTGTTTAAGCAATCAAGAAAACCTGCAATACATCGCCTGCCCTTTATAAGGTTTATTTACAGCAGACAGAAGAACACAGAATACGTAGGCACCAAAATGTTAATATACCTCTGCTAACCCTGCCTTACAGGCCAAATCGTACCAATCTCTGCTTCTCCACAGCAAACCAGTCTGTCAGTGGCAGTTCATTTAAACTATAGGAATGATTTACCAGACACTGGAAAAAATACTCAGTCAACATTACTGTTTTGAAATGACATTAAAGCGACAAATTAATACTACCGGAACTTTTCTGTGACTGAAAACTTAACTTTTCAGGTCAGTTTATTAAAGTGTCATTTCATTACATCCATCCCTTGTGTTAATACAGTATAGTTTTGTTAGCATATGATGCACTATTTGTAAATCACTCACACTTACAGTGCAATTTTTCCTTGGGTAGTAATTCATCTTTGTTTATTTGTGTGAGCTAGACATGTTTTTGTATTCTCACACAGAAACTCACAATACAGAAAGAGAATATTTTGAAATCTATTCTGAGATGCACATTTAGTACTCTTTTGTAGTGGTGAGTGCTTTGTATTTTACTCTCTACTGCTCAGTGAAAGGCAAACACTTTTCTTCCCTAATCTCTAGTGACAACATGTATCAAGGATTACTGGGTGACTTGATACAACAGATTTTTGTTCAACTTTGTCTCTTTTCGCCCCCTGACTGTCCTCTGATTCTAGGGGGCAAAAGACATGATTGAATTCCTATTTTAAAAACCCATATAAATGCACAGCCTTTTTCCACCAAGCTATTGGATATTTTAAATGGTGTTAAGTGGAGAAACTAAAGAAGAATGAAGCAACACCATACAGTATACCACACAGCGATTGCAGAAATACTCAATGAATTCATGCTGTTACAGTTAATCAATGCACCACACACAGACAAACAGCTGCCAACTGCTGTCGACCTTTTATGCCACTAAAGCACTGTAAACAGTTTGTTATATCCAGTCATAATAGACATGAAGCAAAAGGTGAAGCCAATGAAATGTACAATGTTGCTTTATTGCCAATTCTTTTGTGCGAACTTAAGCTGCATTCAAAAATCTACTTTTCTGTGACCAGGGATTTGATGTTTTTACTTGCTTTAAAAGGTCACAAATATGCTTTTAAAAATAACAAGGAGTAGTCTTATAATCTTTAAATGAACAGGCAGACATTTGTTTCAAACAGATCAAAAGATGAATACCACTTTCACATCTGTGTAATAAAGGCGCTATAGTCAGAGCTCTGCAGTTATCTTAGGTTACCTACATGCTGATGGTAACTTACTTGACTGACATATTTCTGTCTAACTCAGAGAAAAAAATTCATTTTTTACCTAGTTGAACAATTCTATTAAATATTGGTCAGTGTTCTAATTGTGCACGGTCCTAGCATATTTCAAATTGTACAGTATGTGCTTAAATATGAATCCAATCATAGATGATCTGATAACAAAACATTTATTGGGAATTTATTGGAAATGCCTGCAAATGTCCATGCAGATAGAAGTGGGAAGGTGTCACAAATGTGCTCCATCTCACCTACCAACGTGTTGGAACATACAGTGCATCAGCATTGAAAAGTTGCATTAGAAGAAATAAAGCCATGTCAGGATTTGTTTAATGTAAAAGACAATGCAATTTACAATTCAATATATTGAAGTTCACCCACACACTAAAGGCTCGAATTGCAGTTTTTTAAAGGTTTAATTCTGCTGAATGATTTTGAAAAGTATAGCTAAAAATGAGGATGTGGCAGTTTACTTTTTGCAATGCTTTTGAATTTGTCTGTTGCTTTTAATGGTTTTTAAACTGACAATGTTGTATTTTGGTCATCTTGAGTGTCTTATTCTTTGTAGTCTGTGCCTCAGTATCATTCAGAGTCATTCTACGTTGGATAATGTACATAAATGCTCAGTGTACATGATTATTTTGAGAAAAATAAAGGAGTGACTAATAATTATTGGCATTTCGCTTGCTGACATGCTATATTTCATGAAATTATATAGTTTGATTAAAATGTTACCACCAGAGTTTTCAATCAGTCGTGATGAATTCTGGAATCGACTGGAAGTGATCATTACTAGGTTGTTTTTTGCAATCTGAACAGTCAGTGAAATGACAGCTTGTCATCTAATATGCCTGCCTATAATCACAAGTGACTTCTATGGTATTGTTCACACAGTTTTATAAAATGTCATATTTCACTGACAGAATAATACATTATTTTTTTTCTCACAATAAGCTCTAACAAAAGAGTTCAAAATTAAGAAAATATACACACAACCAGGTTCATAAGTATTCGAACAATGCAACCCATAATGGGTTCTGTATACCATAACAGTCGATTTAAAAAAACAGACAACCAAGATGTGATTAATGTGCAGACTTTCAGCTTTAATTTAAGCAGAGATTTAAATCAGGTGGTAATTCCAAATACTAAACTTTTGCAGCCCTTCGTTGGTGCTTTTAAAATAAGGTCCAGACAGATGCTGATGCAATTGAAAAAGGCCATCATTACCCTGAAAAATAAATCTAGTGCTATCAGACAAAACAGCAAAACTGGGTATATTCTTAAAAAGCCATGCACTGGGTAGCTCATTAACAGCCAAGGGCAAGAAAGACCACAGAAGACAAACATCTAAGTATTGAGACTGGAGGAAGTATGGAGAAGGGAAAGAACACCTCATGATCCAAAGCATACAACAATATCAGTCAATCATGATGAAGCAGAGTGACCCACAAACAAATAGCAACTGAAGCCAACTACAGTAAAGACCTAGCAGAGGCAAGGAAGGTAACACAGCAATGGATGATTTTCCAGGCTTCAGGTCATTCACTGTCTAGTATTAAACACAATTATCAAAACTAACAAACTTTGTTAATTTTATAATTATTTTTAGCCTCTGAAAATAGGAGAATTTCTTTAAAAATGTCTGTAAACAGTTAATGTAAACAATTAATATCTTCGTTAAATCATTTAAATTAAACATAAAAGTCTGCACTACAATCATCTTCACTGCATGACTTGAATTGCTTGATTGCTGGACCGTGATGTCATAGAGGCAATATTGCAATAATTCTATTATTGTCCAAATATGTATGACCCTGACTGCATATGTCTTCTTCATGACAGTGAGATCATGAAGCTTCACGTGTGCAGTAAGATCCAAGAAGTCAAGAGCCATTCAGCATAGCATAAAGGTTAAGCTGTGAACAAATCTAAATGTACCGTATTTTTTGGATTATAAGGCGCACT